GGTTCTGTGCTTGTCGGGCAAGCGTTTATTCTACTGAGCTATCTCCCTGGCCCCTAAGATTTCTTTAAAACGATTTTTATCACTGAGCATCACGATGCAGCCCTGTAATCCCAGAATTTGGGAGGATGAGTCATGAGGATCACCTTAAGTTCAAGGCCAGCCTTGGCTATCTGTTGAGTTCAAGGCCAGTATGGACTACATAGCAAGAACCCATCTCCAAAACAACAAAACAAAGCAGTAAATATTTCTATCTTTTATTCAATGATGGCTAATTTTCTGCCTACATATTATCATGGAAGAGTTTAAACTGCTGTTTAATCTGTTGAATGCTATTCCAACCATCTTACATATTTAAAATAGAAAAACAGTATATCATGCTTCAGGTCTGGTGAACAATTTGTATGCAGTCATAAAAATCGGTTAAAATAGACAATACACCTTACCTGACTGATAAAATCGTTTTTAGGTGATCATTTTTTATATCATCAATTCCTCTTTTATATAGGTATACATATAGGTAGTACAATAGTTTTTTCCTGACAAATTTCTGAGACTAGAGGAAAATACATCACATAAAATTCTAGGCCATCTTTGTAGAGCACTCTTCCTGATAGTAGTTTTAAACCTATTGTTGGAATTTAATCACACTTTATTTTATTTTTTGTATTTTAGGGAAGGGTCTACAGGGTGTTCAGGGTCTCACTACTAGATCAGACTTATAGTGATCAACCTATTTACCTTCTCAAGAGCTGGGATTACAGGTGTGTACCACCACGCCCAGTCTCAATCTCCATCTCAGCTCGCCTGTGAGTGGGGCCAGCAGGGCAGGTTTCATCACATTTTAGAAGGTTTATACATTGCTATCTTCCTTTTCCAGCATGTAAGGCTATCCATATATGGCCATAATGATGATAGCCTTAACGATATCAACCCAGATATTTAGTATTTATTTTCCTTCCAAGTTCTAAGTTAGATAAGCATCTCTTATAAACTATCTCTAAATACTAAACATTTTAAAGGTTCTAATAATTGACAACTTAAATACAAACATTTTTCACCTATGACATTTATGCATGCAAGTTAAGACTGAGATATGGTCTATAGTAATTTTTCTAAGCTGTTGTTCATCTTTCCAGTTTTATAACAGAATGCATTCTGAAGCTACAATGCTCAAATCCTAGCTCTGCCATTTGACATTGTATGTGACTTTGGCCAAGTTATTTAAAGTTTCTGTGCTTTGCTTTCTTCATCTATAAAAATGTGACTATCAAATGTTCCAACCCCAATGGGTGTTCTGAGAGATACTATGAGTTAATATATGTAAAATGCTTAGAATAATATCCCCATACTGTGGCGTATCACTTTATTATTATACTTTAAATTTTATTTGCTTTACTTGAAAGAACTGGCTCAACAATCTTTCTTTGTCTATATGTAAGAATACTAAAACTAGATGCTTCCATTTTGTTCTGAATTGCTTAGAATTGGCTCTACCCTGACCACTATATTAGGAATCATTTTCTCTTTATTTGTCCAGGTTTATATCATATTTATGTAAAAACAATAGTTTCTTTTTATTATTTTCAGTGTATATGTTTAATTTCATTTAATATTGATCTATATTGTATCTCTTCTGATTTATCAAGCATACAAAAGATAATTCTAAGGTATTATTACTGCAACTGCTATATTACTTACACAAATTGATCAGAAATAGAACAAAAGTAAATTTAATTGAATAGCATTTTATATTCCCAATTCTTTAAATTCAGGTTCAGATATGTTCATGGCAGATGTGACAATAATCTACTTATATAAGGAAAAACATAGTTATTTGATTAACTTAATTTTTATTTAGCTTACTTTTTTACTTTTTATGTAAATTTTATTTATTTAATTTTAATGTTTATTTGCTTTTAATTTAAAAACTTACAGTCTGGTGCACAAACCTTCTAGCATTAGAAATACAACAATTTAAGTCCCATCACCCACAGAGTTTCAGTTTCCTTATCTATTCCCTTTTATTTGCTATCCTGTTCTTAATATTATTTGGTATTATTGAACTACTTATTTTTCATTGAATGACTATGATAATCCATATTTCTTACAAAAGTAATTTTACTAATATTTTCTATCATCAGAATAGGAGATTATTCACATACTTTTAAAATAAGTCATTTAACATTAATTATGAATTAAATTATAATGAATATTTATTTGATAATTGAAATAAGATATTTAAGGGCAGAAAATTCTACGTGGGAAGATAGGTGATGCTCCATTAAAAATATTAGTGTAAATAATACATTATTTAACTATGTCTCTGTGTTACCAGTAGATACAGAGTGCTTGAGTCTATTTCATGTTCTTTTCCTTTATAGCATGTGTAGCCCCAGGCATGCTTTCCTCACAGATTAAAATGTGTTTAAGTCAGTGCCCCTTATTTTGTCTCAAAGAAGCTGGTCCAGGAATATGATAGCTGAGACACAAAGGGTTAGTGTGGTAACTCGCAAATTCATTATAAAATATAAATTGCATCTGTTTAGTTAAATACAGTTTAAAGATTTTAACATAGCTTCCTATGATGTTTCACTCATCTGATTTCTATCATGGTACTCGGAAAATAGAAGTATAACAATTTAAGACTCATAGACCTCCAAGTTTCAGTTTCCCTAACTATTCCCTTTTATTTGCTGTCCAGTTCTTAACATTGGGTTCTAATATTATTAGAATATTCTATTATTAGAATATTATTATTATTATTATTATTTTGCTCTGGATAAATTAATACAAAACAACTCATCTTTTTTTTTTTGACGGAACTGGGGATTGAACTCAGATCCTTGTGTTTGCCAGTCAAGCGCTTATCCTACTGAGCCATCTCCCCAGCCCCTACCATTTTATTTAATTGTATTATTATTTATGTACCAGTGTAGGAAAACAGAACCTACCTTGAAAAATAATTTCTGGACTATGTGGAACAAAATATCCTAAACTTTTACATCATTTTGAAGTTCACTCATTATTGAAACAGACATAACTATTACAATCAGATTCTATAATGAAGAGACATAAGAATTTATCTCTCTTGGTGAGATTATGCAAATAAAAATGGAATTCTTCAAAGCTCTTCTGATAGGTTGTGAAAGAATCCTGATTATTGTAGCTGACGATCTGTACTCTGAACTCTATGCTCACTGATGTTCTAGATAATGCACTGTAGTGCACTAAACTTTTTTGCTAAATAATTAAAAGAAATAATGTTTCTTTTAAAAATTCTGTATACCTTTAATAGGGAGCATTCACTTGGAAACTATCAAATATGCTCTTTGAAAATACTATATTAATTCCTCAAGCACGACGCAGGGTGGCGCTGCAGGCTAAGATTGTGAATAAACCCCGAAAGGTGCCTGTATCCTATTGTCACTTTAGAGGGAATCAAAAACACAGACGAAAAGCTTTTCACGCAGTACGGAGGTATCATCGGGTTAGGACCACAAAACACTAAACTTTTTTTTTTTTTTAAAAAGCCACTTGGTGACAATACCTCCAAAGAAGAAAACAGAAATTTGTATCTCCACCCTTTTGGTGAGGGCTGAAGGATTACATACAAGCAAACGGACCCTAACATGGAGAAGCTAAAGAGAATTCAACCAATCAGGCAAGTATTGGCCTTAATTTTTATAGCGTTCTTCTCTATGGCTGACCCAGAGCCTATTCGCTACTCTGTACAGGAGGAAACAGAGGGTGGCTCCTTCATAGCCCATCTGACTAAAGACCTGGGCCTGGAAACGGGGGAACTGGCAGTCCATTCAGCACGGGTGGTTTCTGATCATTACAAGCAGCATTTGTTGCTGGATCCTCAGACTGGAGATTTGTTATTGAGGGAGACCCTAGACCGGGAAGAGCTTTGTGGGCCTGCTGAACCATGTGTGCTGCATTTCCAGGTCTTCCTTGAAATGCCAGTGCAATTTTTTCAGGGAGAATTATGGATTCAGGACATTAATGATCACTCCCCAACGTTCCCGGATGGGAAAGTGCTCTTGAAAATACCTGAAAGCAGCCAGCCAGGGACTGTATTTCCCCTGAAATCAGCCCAAGATTTGGATGTGGGCAGCAACGGGATTCAAACATACACAATCAGCCCTAATGATCATTTTCACGTTCTCACTCGAAATAACAGTGAGGGCATGAAATTCCCAGACCTGGTACAGGACAAGCCACTGGATCGGGAGGAGCAGGCTGAGTACAGCTTAATTCTCACGGCTCTGGATGGCGGGTCTCCACCGAGGTCTGGCACTGTCATGGTTCAAATCCTGATCCTGGATGTCAATGACAATGCTCCTGAGTTTGTGGACACCCCATATGAGGTTCAGGTGCTGGAGAGCTGCCCCTTAAATTCCCTCATCCTGACTGTCTCAGCTAGAGACAAGGATGCTGGACATTTTGGAAGTGTTTCCTATGGCTTGTTCCAGCCATCAGATGAAATTAAACGAACTTTCTCAATACATGAAGTCACGGGAGAAATCCGACTGCAAAAGAAACTGGATTATGAAAAAATTAAGTCTTACCGTGTGGAAATTGAGGCCACAGATGGAGGAGGCCTTTCTGGGAAAGGAACAGTAGTGATAGAGGTGGTGGACGTGAATGACAATGCCCCTGAACTGACCATAACCTCACTCACCACCTCCATCCCAGAAAATGCTCCTGAGAGCATTGTCTCTATTTTCCGCGTGGGAGACAGAGATTCTGAAGACAATGGGAAGATGATTTGTTCTATTCCAGACAATCTTCCATTCATTCTAAAACAGACTTTTAAGAACTTTTACACCCTGGTAACAGAGACCCTTCTGGACAGAGAGACAAGGGTGGAATACAACATCACCATCACTGTCACCGACTTGGGGACACCCAGGCTCAAAACCCAGCACACCATAACAGTGCAGGTCTC